ATCTGATGATGTCATATCATCATTCATTTATTGATATTCACCGACTTCACCAAATAACATTCTGTGTAAAATGAATGTATATAATAAAAGCCCAAACCTGAGGCAAATTCACATCGATATTTGTAGTTCTTGTGTGTAAAAAGTGAAGACGTGACGAGGTTAAAAAGTGGAGGAAGAGTTTAGAGAGAGAGAGAGAGAGAGAAAGATGTTACTGCGCTGAGGATCCTGTCAATGGAACACATGGGTTGTGTTTGTGTGTGGGTATGCTGAGTGACGATGAGCACAGCTCGCAGAGTGTGGACAGACGCTGCTGGGATTAAATATACTTTACCCACACACACACTAACAGCCCTCTTAAAATGCTTCCTCTGCACTTAAATCCTAGTATTCCCCAAGGAGAACAGTGTGTGTCAGCATGCCTTATCTCTGTGTGTGTGCGCGCGTGTGTGTGTGTGCCCTGGGAGGTCTCATGTCATGCGCCCAGAATGCATGTATCTGTTTTGCTCATCTGCACTTATATAGTCAGACGTTCAACAAGAAATGATGCTTTTTAAAGAGAATCGGCTTTCTACTTCTGAGTTCATAATAGCCATTACCTGTGGATTGGTCGGGATTAATATGTTCTTCCAGTATTCTGTTTACTCGTGAGCATGACAGTCTACCAACAAAATGTGTTTTTATATATATGTTCACCTCTTTCCTCTGTCTATTTTTCCATTAATTAATTCGTCTTTCATTAATCTAAATGTCTGAATTAGCCAAAACAATTACTTTACACCGAGGTAAACTTTGCCCTAAACATACAGTCTGTGGTGTCTGAAATCACTTGATATTACTTTGCATTGCCTTATTTTCCTATTTTTTTGCCATATTTTCTTGTTTGCAATTTATTTGAACTCCTACTACTTCCAAGCACTTTGCAACTTGTGTGCCTTTGAGTTTTGGTATATATTTCTCCTGTTTGCTATTCATTCCTCCTGTCTACTATTTATATTTTATTCCGGCACAGTTGTACAAGTACAGTGACAATAAAGGGCTATTCTAGTCTATTCTATGAAATCTGTTTGTTTTTTGACCCTGTAAAAAACTTTTTCCAGTGTTAAAATTACAGTTTTGTGAAAAAACAGCTACAAAAAATAAAAACAACTGATTTGCAGGGAAGTGATTTGAGAAGAGGTGTGCTATAAATCAAGTTCAACATAGCCAGGCGTTTTTGTGTTTTTGTGCCAGGCTCAAAAAAAACCTTAAAAGTCTTGTCAGAAAAGAGCAGCTCTCTTTTTTTACCTGGCTAAATCACCATGGTAACTATGATGAACATGTTTTAAGCGTATTATATGCTGGGGGATTGTGTCTTATATGTGCAAATTGTTAAGCTGTACTTTACTAGAAACTGCTGAAAGAAGCGCCGCATCATCAGGGGAATGTGTGTGCATTAACTTTTTGAAAGCAGTCTCAATTACACATCCATCAGTGTCTCATCAGGCAAGCTGTAAGAAGACTTTTACTAAGCTAACAAATACTGAAACTATGCATATATCACTGATATTTTTATTTGATTTGATTACTTTTTTCAATTCATGAAATTATTTCAGTTAATTGGATTTTCTTTATGTTTAGTTTTTAGTTTTGTTTCCATAAACTACAATAACCTCGGTGCTCACAGTGGATCAGCTGCTGTAGGTGCAGTGTTTGTGGAAACTGAGCACATTGTTTTTCTTTAAATGAACTACTTTAAATGGTTTTCTCGGCTGAAAACTGCCCATGAGGGTCTTCTTTCAGTCTCAGCCACAGCTGTGACAGTATGCAATTAAAAACAGTGCACCGATCCTCATTATTAGAAGCGCTTTCTCTGGCTTTCTCTCAGTGTGCCTCTGCTTCATTTTCTTTGTCTTACTCATCTTACATTTGCCCATCACTGCATGTCCATCTGGTCTAGTATTCTTGCAAAATTGTTATTATGGGTAATTTTGTTTTGTTCATGTTTTTTGTTTTGCTATTTTTCATACAGTAAACAAAAAAATAATAATTTTCTGTTTTCCTCCTTCAGATTCTTTCTCCTCTCCTGGATCTTAATCAGAATCGCAGTAAGCTGAAGCTGTACATCAGTCACCTGACCTCACTGTGTCAGGAGCGAGACCCAATCATATTGCAAGATTTTGCCCCGCCCCCCGCCTATCACCGCTCTGACTCTGCCTCCTGGCATACGCAGCTGCACAGCATGACGCAGGAACAGGTGAGGACTCCTGGGTGTGTTCTGAGTGAGAGATGAGAGGAAGGAAAAAATGAAATGCAACGACATCAGTCATTCCTGCGGTTCAAAAAAAGTGTTTGTGTGCGTAAGAAAAAGGGGGAAAAAGAGCGAGAGCGTGTTCTATTTTTGAGAAGCGTGGAGGGAAAAAAAGCGATAATATTTAGTCGCTCCTCATTTATCAATTCTTTAAAACTCTCCACTGTGTGTGTTTGTGTGCTTGCCTTTACATGCTGTATGTGTTGACATGCACGAGGTTGCATGCTTGTTCTTGCTGTGAGTGTGCAGGTGTGTGTGTGTGTGTGTGTTTGCATGTAGGAGTAGGGGCACACACTTGGGCTTGCCTGGCAGGTTTTTGGCACTGCTTTTGACATTATTGAAAAGATTTACTCCAGCAGGTCACCTGACGACAAGCGCCTGGCTGCGGAACAAAAACCGTTTCAGACATTTTATTTTACTGGGAGTAAACTCTGTTTCAAGCTTTTGGCAGCAGGGAAAGGGTTGGTTCATATACAGTGCAGAGTAAGGAGGGTAGAGAAGTATATTTATTTCACTGTCAAAAGAGCTGTCATCTTTGAGAGGGAGGAGAGCAACGGGAAGGGAATCAAGGATAACGAAAGAAAAGGTGAAGCTTCGAGAAAGTTACAGAAACACTGGCCAACCTTGCTTGCTTAGATGTTGCTGCATTATCATGGCAACCAGCTGTGTTTTCAGATATTCAATATAAACAGTATATTATTAAATTTAAAAAATTGTGGCCCTCTGCGGCTTCCCATGTCTCCCTCTCTGTCTTTTTCTCCATATTGAAAACGTATCAGGCAATGCATGGTCGCTACATGTGGTATGCATTGAAGAACGTAACTTTAGACACACTCGCAGTGCTACGTGACAGAGTGTGTGGTTGGGGTACAGCGGGACTAGTTTTCTACAGTCTGTATGAAAGCCCTTTTTGTGTCTTAATGCAAGGAAATGTCTCCGTTAAGCACAAAGTGTTTCAAAAACACTGCTGCGTGGTGTCGATTTAAATAAACTTTCGATATGTAAAATTAACTTCTCATTTAATCACAGGTACATTAAATGAACAAAGAAATGGTCTGGAGGCCTTTCGTGGACATTTTTCACCATCAGCCTGCTTTCATAAAAAAAGCAGTCTGTTCTGTGGTCTAGCGGCTGAAGATCTACATTTTCAAAAGAAAAACATACTCTATTAAAACTGATTATGTGGGCAGCTGTGAAAGCTTATCTAACGAGGCTGAATGTAGCCTGCAGTATTTTATTCCTAACTTATATTTATAAAAACATTTTCAGAATATTGAAAACATTTGTACCAAACTGCGCTCACGGCCACATCCAAGTCAAATCTACAACAGAGGAAAAAAGAGCTTAACAGACCAACCTACCCAATTCACCGCAAATGACTTTTTTCCTTTTTCGCATGAACCATTTTCATGGCAGGGTGCAATGTTTTGATTTTTGTTATTCTGCTGCAGGGGCAAAATGAACTCCTAGAATAGAGTTACAAAAAAAAAATGACTGTGCCTGTCTTTACTGTAGTCAAACTTATCCATGCATCGCTGTATATGTGGTGATTATCACATATACACGTAAGGTTACCAATCTTCATGTAACAAAAAGCTGAAGTAGAAATTTAATACCTGATATAACTGCCCGTGAAGTGGAACTTTGGTACTTATCCCTTATTTTCTGTCATACATATGTTGATGCTCAACAATGTGGCCAAAGTTTTAAATAATGGGGTCAGTATATCTTCACATAATAACACGAGCCATAATTCAGACTTCACTCTGCTCTAAACACTCTGTTTTACACTCCTGAGATGACTATATTCTTAATATAGTCATCTCAGGCACACAGCTCTGGTTTGGCACAGTGGGCCCACACACCTGCTGCTCAAACCTTCTGTTTATGTGGATCAGCCAACCAGAACGAAGCTAAAGGAGAGGTGGAGGAGCTATATTAACTTTTTTCAGAACTAATTAAGTAACTAATAAGCTCTCCTTTAACTCTCCTTGTTTGGATTTTTCCATAAAAAACAATAAAGCCTTTACATGAATGTCTTTTAATTCCTGCACTGGGAAGTGAGGCTGGAGTTCATGAAAAGCTGAGCTAAAGGGCCCTATAGATGTTAACTCAGAGGTGGCTTAGACTAGTGACAGAGTCCTCTGTACACCATCACTGGAGATCAGTGTGTTTAGAAGTGGGTCAGCTGTTATCGCGAACATGTTTACAACTCTTTCAGAAAATACTAATGGTGACTGATGTGTGAGGTACAGATCTGTTAGAGGGACGTGGTGTTTAATGCTAAAGAGTGACAGTGTTACTGTGAGCTCCTTCGAGGGTGTTTTACTCATAAAGGTGGGAAGACTGTTTTACTGTGGATGGACAATAACTGCTGTGCTTCTCCTTTGAGCCTCTTGGACACATCATTAAATTCATAGAGAGAAAGCCCTGAGTGTTTCACTCTCCTCTGTGTGTCCAGTGTGGTGAACTGTTGTGTGGTAGACTTCATATCTGCTGTGCTTTCCATGCAGCCCCACAGATTTTTTTTATTTTATATTGGATTAAATTGCGGTTCTTTTGCTTTCCTTACAAGTTAATTAAGTTATTTTTATGCTGTAGACAAGCCCAAAGGGTATTTATTCCTAAAAGCCTGTCTTTCTTTGACATCCTTAGTGATGTGTGGCTAACTGTTGAATAAGCAATTACACCCACTCCCAACCCTGTTTGGTCACTGGAAGCTCTAAGTTATGAATGATGCTCTGGTGTGTACTGAGGAAAGTGTTTCCACACTGAGTACAGCAGAGACCAGGGCTGGGGTTTACTGGACTTTAGTCTATATGTGAGGGTTACATGTTCTGTACAGTGGTCATCCGCTAAATGGATAGGTATAAAATTATGCACAGACTTTCGACCTTTCTCCTAGCACTGACAGCAGATTGGCAGATTTGGTTTGTGCTGTTTTAAAATAAATATGGGGTTCAAATGATTCATAAATCAGAGTCCCATTTTTTTTTAGAAATGCAGTTGTACTCATTAGTTATTTTTTCTACTATTTTTAGTGGGATGTTTCCATTAACAACATCACAGTTTGAATCTTTCTTCTTCTTCTTCCCTTTTTCTGCAAACCCACCCATATTCAGGCACCACTTGGCGCCATGTGTTTTTTTTTTTTTATTGTTGTGTTTTTTTTTTAAGACCCCAACCCTGCCTATGTACAATCGCACACACACACACTGCCAGTCTTTCATTCAGACCCGTGTTTCTCGTTTTCCTTCATCATGTGTCAGCATCACCCTGGCTGACCCTCTTAATGCGCACACAGACTCCCTCCAGACCACCATGTTCCAGTGTGCCAGCCTCTCTTCTCTGTCTTGTGGTGAGTGTGTGTGTTTTACAAGCCTCTCCTTGGCTCTGTTAAAATGCCTGGCACTCTGTAAACCCATTAGGCTCACACTAAAATAGCATGTAAAACCCATAGATGCAGACAAAATCTCACAGGCGGAAACCTACATGTCTGGCACCCACATATGGATTAACATGAATGCACAGCAATCATGAATGACCACTGGAGGCTTGTCTATCTTCCTGTGTGCTTCTGTAATGAGGCACAAACTCAAAACTTTTACTAACACTCTGCTGTGCCGCTTATCCCCCAAAAATGCACAATACAAATATGGAAAGAACGATTTATAAATCTATAAACACTATATTTAATTTAAAATTGTAAAAAAAAAAAAAAAAGGTAAAACAAAGGAAGTGTTTCAGCAATCATCAGCGAGGTTTAAGACAAACAATCACAGCATATAAAAGCCAGGTGAGATCCCATTACCAATCAGAAATCAGAGCTGTAATTACATAATGAAAAACACCGGCAGAAAAAACATGCCAAGGGTAGCAGACACGTGCAAACAATCCTAATCATAATACACTCCTACAGTTCAACAAAAATAGTATCAACACACAACCAGCAAACACAACAGTATTAAAACCACTGGAATAGGAAACGTAAACAGAAGAATGTGTTTCCACTAAAGTTATCAGACATCAAAAAACACATAAACAATCTGAAGAAAAGCCCGTACATGAAATATCACAAGAAAAACCAAATCACTAAAACAGTTGCACAATAGCTCTTGATTCAAGCTTTTAGGGGGTTTCTGTGTGTAGTGGTTGAATCCAGTCTGCAACCCTTTGTAGTAAATGTTTGTATACTTTCTATACCTTGGAATTTATAGGAACTCCAATATGTCCAGCTGCATTAAAATGCTTTCATCAACATTTCTTATATTGCTTTTGTGCTCAGAGATTCTGACTTTTAGGTCACGAGACCATTTCATCAAGTAAATCACAAATTAGGTTCTCTAAGAAACTAGATTTTTGATTTTCTACTTCCTTCCAGTGTAAGCGGTGTAGAAAAGCATCCTCTTTTATCACAGCAGTGGATACAATTTAACATGGGATTCGTGATCGAGCTTTATAGTGACCGTTACTACAATGTAGAAAATTGTTTCTGCTAATTAATTTATGCTAAAGCTGAAATGCTGGGGGAGACAACATATTCTTTTCAGTGGGTTTAGTTTCATACTTTACCAAATCCAACCCGTGGTGGCAGACTTAGACATTCATAAGTCTTTCAGGCAGGATCGGTGAGTGGTAAAGCTAAAGAGCAATAAGGTCAGCATATGAGGTAAGCAGAGATGAAAGGATGAAGTGGGTAATCAAGTGTATATATTCACGCTTGTCTGGTGGAAGGAGAGAGTTGTAGAAAGAGGCTTCTTTTATTTCAAAATATGACATTTTGTGGGCTTTTTAATGTTCTGATTTTAGATGCATCTTGTGCGTTTCAGTGTGTCATCCTCTGGCATCACTGCTTTGATCAATCGACTGCATTTTTCAGATTTGACAAGTATGAAGGCTTTGTCAAAATCACTCCCTGTTTTCTACATAGTGGACTACATTTATTG